TATATATATATATATATATATATATATATGTATTTATTTATATATATGTGTTGTCACAAACAGGGATAGCGGACGCCATCAGTCTGACTGATGTGTATTGAAGAAGACGAGGACAGCCCCTCACCATCCACAGAGTGATGGATGGTGAGGGGTTCAACTGCACCCTGGCCACACAGCATGCAATCCTCGTGGACCAACACCAGCAGGACTGGGATCAGCACCTCCCGCTGGTCTTGTGGGCCCACCTAACTGCTGTACAGGAGTCCAGTTAGTGTACAATCACTGCCCTGATGTTCGAGCGAGAGTTGCACACCCCACTGGACCAGATGTTTGGGGCCACACCAAAGCCTGAGATTGCTGGGGGGAGTGGAAGCTGACTACTTCCAGAGACTCAGGGAACGACTTCGGAGGGTACATGACTACACCCGTAAAGTTTAGGTTGATGCAGGGATAAGGCAGAGAAGAGTCTACAACATCCACTGTCATGGATGGGCTTTCAAACCAGGGGACAAGGTGGGGGTGTACTGCCCAGCGCATAAGAAGTGGGTCTCTCCTAAGCTTTGCAGTCAGTGGCAGGGCCAGCTGAAATTGTGGCACATGTGTCTGAGGTGCTATACTGGATGAAGCTTCCTAACTGGGGCTACCTGGTTGTGCTGCATCAGGACAGGCTTGCTCCGCACCGCCCCCATGCTCCAGTGATTGCTAGAACGGGAGATGACACCTCTCTCACCAACTCACCTGCTGTAGCCACACCTCAGTGCCCTCAACGTCCAGTGCACCAGCATCATCGACCAGAACACCTGCAGGACTATGTATTGAGTGAACGGGCTGTCGAGGACGACTAGCCCTACAGGTGGGGGCTATGCTGTTGTTGACTGTCGGTCACATGGCCTCAGGGAGGGATTATGGGCAAAATTTTTGTTAATTGTTAACCATTTCATTTATCTGTCTAGCATTGTTCTTTTAGTGATTAGTCTGTTCTTCTTAGCTTAGTGTATGTGTTAGTTTGTGTTAGGCCATTCAGTAGAGCAGTGGTTCTCAACCCTGATCCTCGAGGAACATTATCCTGCATGTTTTAGTTGTTACCCGCTCCAACACACCTGATTCAGAGATTTAATTACTTCATCAAGTTCAGCAGAAGCCTGTTAATCACCCATTGATCCAAACCAGGTGTGTCAAAGCAGAAAAACAACTAAAACATGCAGGATGGCGTTCCTCAAGGACCAAGGTTGGGAACCACTGCAGTAGAGTAACGATGAGTGAGGGAGGCAGTTGCCATGAAGACCTGTGTATTACATATGGACTACTTTTTTTACGCCACAGCATCTCACTGCAAATAATCTAAACTACATATCCCTCTAAGCAAAAACTAGAGGGCGGCTCAAAGTTTCTATAAAGTGGCTGAACTACCAACAGAGTAACCAACCTGGTTGTTAGAAGGTGACAAACTGAAAAACATCCTTCAAAAAACAATGGCCGTCCAAACAAAACAAGAATAACAAAACTGTGTGCGTGTGCAAAGACACGGTGTGTGGTACTGACTCATTTCCATGTATTCAGGGGTTAATCCAGCAAACGGCTCTAAGAAGTGATCCGTTTCGTATCTCTTCAACTTCTTCTGTCTCTCTTCTCCTTGAAAAGCTCTTTGTTTTGAACGAATGAATCGAATCAGCTTCTTCAGTTTGCTGAGGAACACGTACAAACACACGCACATAAAACAATGACATTCACACAAACAAATACACACATTTGCTCCTGAGATGCTTGAGATGAACAAGTACTGCATGGCCGTATGTTTTGATAGGCACGAGATAAATAACATATTTTTAAGCTAAATATAAATTATACGTAAAGTTTGTCTTTTATTCTGCAGCTACCAGATATTTCTTGCTGTAGAATTGTGACAGTTGTTTTCGTCGTACACGGGGTAACACATTTTAAAATCTGATGTTGAATTACAATTAATGAAATAAATTTATTTAGTTTGGAAGCACTGAAGCTCATTTACAGAGAACGATAAACACCAACTCTAGGCTTAATGATGACAAACTCAAGAAACGATGAAGAATAAATTAAATTAGATTATACTTACGGTACTCCAATCTCAAACAGGTTGTTTTGTATCAGTTGCTTTCCCAGCATAGTGATACTCAGCTGGATGCACAGCTCCATTAGACAGCCTCCATGGGTACACTGGAAAGCAGACTCACAAGTAAGAAAAGCTAAAGGTAGTACCTCCCTGTGCAGGGACTGTTGGACAGTAGCTGGTGAAAAACATTTTTCAGAGAGTCTACATAGTGTCTGCAAGAGTAACTCACTTTAGTTGCAAGACTATGCTGCAAGAATTTTGAACCTAGTCAAAATCCATCCATCCATTCATCCATCCATCCATTATCTTTTACTCGCTTCTTCTTGTTTTGGGTCATGGGTGTCACTGGTGCCCACATCCAGCCATCACTGTGCAAGAGACGGAGGACACCCTGGACAGGTCTCCAGTCCATCACAGGTCTCTCTCCAACAATTTGTGTAAAATTTTTTCCGTCAAAATATTCAGAGACATAGCACACTTGTTCCAACCTATCTCATGAGTGCAGATCTACTGTATATCCTGAGGGCTGTCAGAAGTGGTTTTCTTCACTTTAATTGCAACATTTTGAACACCAGATGGCGCTGTTTGTAGTGTGTCTGGGTGGTTGGTGGCTTGAGCATCTGACGTGCAGGCAAGCGCCTTTAACAGCGCTGGTCAGAGATACTAACGATAGCTCCCGATGCAAAGTGTGACATCAGCAAGTACACAGACTTCAGGCAAGTGGAACTGTGAATGCAGTACAGTTAGCGCTGTAGTTGTAGTTTGCGCCAATTAGAAAAAACAGCAAAAAGATGGTTTCCAAGAAGCATCGTTGTTACGGGATCTTGCACTAGTGACAGCCGTTGTGCTGTCAAGCCTCATGTGCCAGGTACTTGATTCTGGCCGTTTCCAAAGCCGATTACTCAGGGAGAGTAATGGGATCGTTGGATTCAACTCTGTGGCCGAGCAGGCCTCAATCGGACAAATGTAAACAGGAACGTGGGTGTACATGTTTAAAATGCCACAGATGACGCCTGTGCAATACATGATGAATCAGTGGCATGCCTCATGCACAAAATATTCTGTCATCCGATCTCTTTTTCACAGAGGCTGGGAACACAAGCACGGATCAGCACGGAAAAGATCAGGATCACTATACGTAGCTTTTTATCAGTTCGGCGCTGTTGATGACACAGCTAGTCTCCTGCATCGCAGCCCGTGCTTGAGCTGTGCATTATTGCATCCTTCATTACATTTCAAGTTGAATCTCTGGGAACATCGTCTTCGCTGAGGCTGACATGAACAAAAGTCTTGGATGTGTCCGTTCTGCATGCAGTCTGGTTGATTGACATCCGGGACTTTTGGAGTTTCCCACAATCATCGTGACATCATCCCTGATCAGTGCTATTGCTTTTAATTAGTTGACCACCTGGGCTGACCTTTCTTGGTCCCAGGTGTGATTCAAATTATTCCGGCATGAGTTAAAGTAAAATATTCTGCCCCACTTGGGGCTGAGATGGGGTAGAGGCCGGGCAGACGATCTGGGACCAGAAAGTTGTAGGTTCAACTTCCCACCGTGCCCAAATGTTGTGGTGTCCTTGAGCAAGACACTTAATCCCTAACTGCTCCTACATAGCTGCCCACTGCTCCACCTGGGTGTCTCTCACATGTGATGGGTTAAATGCAGAGAACTAATTTTGTCATGGTACAGAAACATACCATGACGGCAACACATACATTCTTTCATTCATTCTTTCCTTCTTTCTTTCTACTTTTCCGCTCCATGAATGTTTTTCTACAGGACATCTGCCCCGGCCTGACCCTTAATGTACCGGTACCAAAGGGTTGTGTTTACACATGTATATAAAGTAAAGCTTACCTCTTCCATTCGGTAGGACTCAAACACATACAAGTACCTCCCTGGTCTCCCTACCAGCCTAGGAAGAAAACAAAATTGTCACAAATTATTTGTTAAGATTGTTTTTTTATATTTCTTTAACCCTTCAGTTCATTTCTATCGTGTTGTGCCTGTTTTGTTCACACAGTTTAATGTCAGATCAAATGGGTCACGCTGGTCAGTGATTCAGAATACATTTTGATTAGCATTGAAATAAATCCAATTATGCTTTTTCAAATTGTCTTAAATCTCATGAGCCTGTTTGTGTCAAACATTCAAACTTTTTTTTTTAACAAAAAGTCAGACTTGACACATCTAAACAGGTATTTTGATATATTTTATAGTTTTTACACAGTCATAGTCTAGGTTTGATGTCTTTACGGATTGTGATTTTTTATTTTGCAGACTGTTCAACTACCAGTTGACAACATCACTCTAACCTGTACACAATTTAAAATTTTCAAAATATTGTTTCAGACTCTTCTTCCTCCAGAAATTCATGTTGGTACATATGATTACTGATCAAAACAGAGACATTTTCTCTTTTCTTCCACCCAGTTTGTCTCGTATAATGATAAGACCTGTTTTCCCCCACGACTGAGGCAGCGTGAACATGTTTTTGCTGGCGAGTGTAAGATTTTAATGAAACCTTGAGAAATGAAACATCAAAATAACATCTACAACTGATTTTCATCCATCCATCCATCCATTATCTTTACCTGCCTCTTCCTCTTCAGGTTGCGGGGGTCCCTGGTGCCCATGTCCAGCTATTACTGTGCGAGAGGTGGGGACACTTGGACAGGTCTTCAGTCCGTCACAGGGACACAGAGACAAATGAGACAAACAACCATTCACTCTCTCACTCACGCCTAGAGACAATTCAGAGTTACCAGTCATGTTTTTGGTCTGTGGGAGGAAACTGGAGTACCTGGAGAAAAACCCCGCAGCACGAAGAGAGCATGCAAACTCCACCCAAAAAGGTCCCGGGCTGGGATTCCGTCCGGCGACCTTCTCGCTATGAGGCGGCAGCTCTACCAACTGTTCCACCATGCCACAGATTTCCTTTCAAATAAATCCAATTCCAAATGGACACCACGACGAGGAAATCTTAGCATACACTGAAAATGACAAAGACACGATCAGTTTTCGGCTCATGGTCACACGGTTGGAGACGTTTGTTTTTGCACACACCGTTGTTTGACCATGAGACAAACAAAGCAGAGATCCTGGGAAACTCTGCCCGCTGCAGTACGTGTCACAGCACACTTCATGGCAGACGGTCTGCTCCTCCTCATCGTCTCCATCCAGGAGCTTTTGGCCACTACAAGCTTCATACGTCTGTCTAGAAGAGTCGTATTCTGACTGCCTCAGCAAATTGCTCCTTAAAACCATCTTTGTTGCTTGCAAGCACACTTCTGGAAGCCGAGTAGTTGAAGTGAAACACTGTTTCCCTGTATAAAGAAACCCGCACACGGACCTCTGACCAGTCACACAACACTTTGAGCATTCTCCTGTGAGAAAAGGTTCGGCCTGGGCCTTGTGCAGGCAAGGGGCAGTGATGTGTGCCACAGAACTTGGTCAATGGGAGCTGATTTCTTGGCTTTGAATGGAGAACAAACACTAACAGATCATACAAGCTCACTGGAGATATCGCAGTTTCACTAAATTACACTTTAGTTTCAAGGTTTACCCCAAACAGCTAAAACCTTCTGAGTATAAGATGATCTTGGTCTAAAACTGACAGACTGAATATCACTTTTAACAACAAGTTCATGCTCAATCATCCAGGTATCAAATCCAGTAATTCTCATCTGGACAGTTTATTTTTATTTTTATTTTACAGAGACATTTCGCCCTCTGTCTGGAGGGCTTCATCACTTTTAACAGTTTTATTTCAAATCAGCTCGATCCTGAGGGGGAGCCAGAATTCAAAGAGTGCACGATCAAGCGTCCACTGATTTAGTTCTGATGTAGCTCAAAATATTTGCTTCAAACCAGGAAGTGGAATTCACGTGACCATCAAAGTCTTCAGCTTGTGGTCCCAGAATTTTAAGATCAGACTTACACTCAGCAACTGTTGGCTTATATTGCTATCTGTCTACCTCATTATCCCAGTCAGGGAGTGACAGACACGTGTGTGTGTGAGTGGTTACCATTGTGACCATAATGAGCCGTCACCTTAACACGTTCAATACAAGTCATCCATCAAAGTGTGAGCAACAGCCACATTGTTAAAAAGTTGAGCTGGAGTTTTGGGCTGCAGTGGAACTGTCAGTATTTACTGATAACATTTTGGTGGCATGGTGCCTCAGTAGATAGAGCCTCTCACCGAGAAGGTTGCCAGTTCAAATCCCAGCAGGGTCATTTCTGGCAAGAGTCTGCATGTTCTCTCCGTGCATGCGTGGGTTTTCTCCAGGTACTCCAGTTTCCTCCCACAGACCAAAAACATGCACGTTAGACTGACTGGTAACTCTGAATTGTCCCGAGGTGAGAGAGTGAATGGTTGTTTGTCTCTTTGAGTCCCTGTGACGGACTGGAGACCTGTCCAGGTGTCCCTATAAGCAGGTAAAAATGATGGATGGATGGATGGATGGATGGATGATGAATGGATGGATGGATTTTTAGTGCTGTTTTGCCAGGCTCAAATGCCATCATACCTCACATTACTCTGCGTCCTGCCCAGTCACATACTGTAGGTCCATTTCATAACCAGTTACATGCACACCTCTTCATTCTGATCCAGTTCAGTTCCAGCTCTGTTCGATACAGTCTGATTAAACGGGAACATGACACTAACCTTCCTCTGAAGAAAGCGATGTAGATGATGGGGGTGAAAGCATTAACAAACTTCAGGACGAAGGTCTTAAAGATGAGTCGTTCTTCAAAACTTTTCTCAGTCTTTGGCACCTCTAAAAGTCAACATTTTATACATTAGTCGTATTTTATGTGTTAAAGTTATTGTGAGAAAGGTTATTAATCACAGGAGAACTCAAAATGAACATCAGTACACTGATGCCTCCCGTCGCTGATTTGTCGAGTGAATGTAGTTTTCAAGATGAGTGTTTTTCTGGACTTGAACTGACAAAGGCAAGTGAAGCTTAATGTTTTTGGTGCAAGATGTTCAAGTGTGTTGGAGTTCAATTGTGTAGACAAACAGGTAGATTTTTTTTTTCTTGTCCAAAGTGACGCAGCGTGACGGATCCTGGCGAGGAGGGAACAGTTTTATCCACGACCAGGCACGATGACAGAACCGAGAACCAGAACTGTGTAAAAACGTACGTGGTGGTGACCATTCTGGATTCTGACATGGCAACCCAACTTTCAAAAAGGAAACTTTCTTACTGTAGATATTATCCAGCTCACAACATGCACAGATGGACAATATGTCCACTCGGCAACAAAGACAGAACTTCCTCTGTTCTTCTCCACAGTGCAACCTCTACCCCCGGATATGTTCCACCAAAAAACATTAAGGTTTACCTACATTCCCTGCTCAATTCCAGTCCAGAAAAACACTCATCTAAAAATCTACAAGCATTTACTCTTCAAATTCCTCAGCATCGGTGCATGTTGGTGCACCGCTGGTCTTAACCGCACTCTTCTTTGTACATCAGGGCCCGGTGTTGGTTTAAGGAACAGCTAAATATCTTAAAGTGTTTATCAGTTGTTGGTTCTCTTACCCAGAACTGTAAGCCATCGTGCCACAGCGCCATAAACTTCATCCAGAATGAGGATGACCACGAGGTTGATGATGGCTGCCGTGGTTTTCACCGTCAGCTGTACGTGGTTTTTAGAGATCTGACTAGAACTCATGTGAAGAGCAGCTTTGGTGGAGATTCGGTACAAAATGACACCGAACACAATGGCGAACGTCACGCCAATCTGACAGTGAAAGATTATTTAAAAAAAAGAAAACCATAAGGAATTTGCATATATTTCAAAGCCTTTTCACAGAGCTAAAGTTTTGCACATTATGCAGTTGGTATTAAATCCCAAACCACTCACCATTAAAAGGATCATAACAAGGTTTGCCATGTAGGCAGGAAGGCGATCTCCACATGTGAGCTTTTCAACCTAAAAAATAAAGGTTTTCATTCAACCTTTATTTAGACAGGTTAGTTAAAGCTGCATGCAGTTTAACAGCGTAGATGATTGTGTACTTTATGTTACGTTATGTTCGTTTACTTGTCGTATGCAGGCAGTGAAATGTTCAGGATGAGAAGAACCAATTCGACTCGCAAAAACAGACAAAAAAAATTAAAGGGTACAAAATAAAGTACCAATAAGTGAAAAAACAATTATATTTACAAGATCCATATGAAATATAGTAAACAACAACAAGAGTAATAAAGTCCTTGTAAAGAGATATTTCTGCTGAAGGAGGTTCTACAAGCTGCTGGACCAGAGGGTTTGTTGTAGTTTGTTGACGACACGGTGGAATCCGTCATGTGTTTTTGTTCAGGCTCAGTTTGAATCAGTTTAGAACCTGCTAAAGACCAGACCAGCTTCATTTGTCCTGATTTGTGCCTGAAAGAGGTGGACTTTCTTTTAGGTAAGCAGTTAGAAAAGCTCCTCGACAGCAGAGGTTTGTTACCTTGTGATGGGACTTCTGGTCCATCTTCAGAGACTTCTGCATCACTCTGATCTCATATTCAGCTCTGGGGTGATCCTGCAGAGGTGCCACATGGAATGAAAAGAAAGGAAATGGAACAAAGGACATTTAAAAAGTAACATATTAGTGTCCTGATCTTCAGGTTTTTTTTTGTTCTCAAAGGTGCTGTTGGCACGTGGCTCACCTCTGGCAGTCGAGAAGCGTCAACATTGCTCAACACACAGACGGTCTTTAGCAACTTTTTGGTAAACAAGTTGCAGAGCAATAAAATATGAGTGTTGTGCGAACACAGTGGTTGATGTTAGTGAGTAAAATATCCTCGGTCACAATAAGGGCACTACCTTAACAGTAACTCAAACACGTTAAAAATACAGTAAACAGTATTTAAAACTATAGATGAAAATAATCATTTGAATAATCAGAAGTGTTTTAAATAAGTTGTGAGTGTGTCAGATGGTGAGTTCTAACTTTTGCCTTAAGTTAAAGTTTAGTTAATTATTGTGTAAAAAGCATGGGTTGACATTTTATTTTTGAAACCTGCCTTCTAATGCAAGCCTCAGTTTCTTCTAAATTAATATTGTAACTAGAACACAACCATAGACCAGTGTTAAATGGTGAAAAAAGGGATGGATGGATGGATGGGTTGGTGGTTGGATGGATGGAAGGATGGGTGAGTGGCTGGGTGTATGGGTTGGTGGCTGGATGGATGGATGGGTGAGTGGGTGGATGGATGGATAGATGGATGGATGGATGGATGGATGGATGGGTGGATGGATGGATGGAAGGATGGATGGGTGGCTGGGTGGATGGGTTGGTGGTTGGATGGATGTATGGATGGATGGGTGGGTGGATGGATGGATGGATGGGTGGATGGATGGATGGGTGGATGGATGGATGGGTGGATGGACGGATGGATAATGGATGGATGGATGGATGGATGGATGGATGGATGGATGTGTGGATGGGTGGTTGAATAGATGGATGGATGGATGGGTGGTTAGATGGATGGGTGGATGGATAATGGATGGATGGTGGGTGGTTGGATGGATGATGGATGGATGGATTTAGCACCACTGACCTCTTCATCTTCAAATCCAGTGAGGTTCCATTCGTAGCACAGCTTCATCTGCCTTCTCTTCCAGTGCTCCATGAACATGGCAGCTTTGAAATGACAAAAATGTTAAATGAGCCTCGAGGTTTAGCTCAGAAGAACGGGGGCCTCATGTGCAAAGGGTGCGCACGAACAAAAACATGACAAAGGACCGTTTCCATGCAGAACGTCAGATGTATCAAGAATTAAATGATTGTGGAGATGTACACATCTCCAACTTCCTGGCCAGCGCACACACGTTTCTATGGTTATTGGTCCATTGTTGACACTTAGAGGTGATGCTGGGAAACTGTTAATGATGTGAAAACTATTATTGTGCATGCTTAACAAGTAACACATCCACATGTATAAATCAGATGCGTGGATATTAAAGCTGCACAAAGTAGTGTAGAAAACAACAACACGGTTCGTCTTATTGGAGGATGTAGCAAATGTTGCAATACGCAGAGAGCGTGTATTTAGAGACGGAGAGGATTTTCTGGCCTACAATGACGACTGGCTCATGAGACGTTTTAGACTACCAAGGGCATTCCTTTTGGAACTGTGCTTGGAGCTGCAGCCGGTCTTGGAGTACAACACAGCAAAGAGCCGTGCACTGCCCGTGCACATACAGCTGCTGACCACACTGGGGTTCTTAGCAACAGGGGTTTTCCATGGGGAGCTGGCAGACCGATCAGGACTGTGCCAGTCAGGACTGTGCCAGTCAACCCTGAGCCGAGCCATGCCAGCTGAGTGGGATGGAATGATCCGTGTGTCAACCAGGTATATCAAATTCCCTACATGCAGCTGAACAGGCCAACAATAGAGCACAGTTTGCAGCGACCGCCGGTTTTCCTAACGGAACCAGAGCTATCCACTGCACACACATTGCTATGAAAGCACCAGCACAGGATGAATAGCTTTATGTTACCAGGAGGCATTTTCATTGACTGTGCAAATTGTATGTGATGTGCAAGAACAAGTAACCAACATTGTGGTGAGGTGATTCATCCATTCTAATGAACAGCATGGTTGGGAACAGACTACAAGCTGGCACGGTGCAGGATGGGGGCTTCTTGGGGAGTAAATGCATTTCATTGTCCCAATATGTCAACCATTTTTCTTAATTTCTGTGCGTGTGCTGCTGTGACCCCACAGCATTTACAGCTTCACACATTATCACATTCACTCCTCTTGAGCTTGGTGCTAATGCCAGAGGACATCGTGCCAAACAGAATGTTTTTACGAGCCTCTACTTCATTTAGAAAAGTCTCCAACTCACATTCCATGAAGTTCCTCTTTTTCCTGCATGTAGACATGATTTTCGATAGTGCAGAGGGGAGATTCCTCAGGTGCAGGGCAGATTTAAACCTATTTGTATATTTAAATGGCAGTGTTTCAAGGAAGGAGTCAAGTATTCCCTCATGTGCGTTCAGTTGCACATTGATTGGGATGTACAAAGGAAGTGTGCTTGCATTCATGTGTATTCACGGTTTCATACATTTGGATTTATTTGTGCGTATGCGGTTTTCTCGATATAAGTGTTCACCATGTTTCAATAGGAAACCCACATCTTTGTACACAAGGCCCTTGAAGATGACTTCACTAATCATCTGCTTTTAATGAAAGAAAAGTAACTCACCCCACAAAGCCATGAATATAGAGAAGAACACAGTGGCAGGGTTATCAAACAGGTGACTGGCTCTGGCGGTTCCACATGCTGTGTTAAGTTTCCAGTAGCTACACACTCTGTCGCACAGAGGGCACATTGTGACATTGTTTTTTGGATGGCAGATCTCCATGCTGGAATGAAGACACAAAAACCAGAATTGCGTTATGGTCTTTCAACACTTCTTGGTTATGTGGGTATGCTTGGGGTCTGCTAGCTCTTGCTAGCTTTAGTTTAGCAAGACTTTTGGTTCATAATCAGCTTCTTCTGTCCTTAGTTGCTCAGCGCATCAGATGTTGAGCTATTCCTTTGCTTACTTTAGCATTAATGGTACGTGTGATTAATGTAGTCTTTTGGGAACTTTACAGGGAAGCTTTCTTGGCTCTGGATTGTTGAAAGCAACCATCACCCCAGGCCAGGTGGGGAATGGTCCAGAAAAAGCATAGTGCTAAGTCTGTCTCGTTTCACCACTGGTCCGTTCATGTTTCAACCCAACTTTCCTCACTCAGCAACACACCTACTGGGAAGCTGACTGGTAATTTACAGCTTCAGAGTATGGAACATGGCACTAGAGACTCCAACTAACACAGTAAAATACCAAAGTGGGAAACACTGAGTCCAACCTAAAACTGTTAAATAAGGCTAAACTACTGTAAATACAATAAGATTGTTCCTCCTGTCACCAATTGGCGGTCACTAAAGTTAATGTTGCTTCGGAGTGTAACTATGCTAAAAAAAAAACACCTCTGGTCGCTGATTTCCTGTCCAACCTGACGACATGTTCCGCTGATGTCACAAGTGTCTTCCCTACATTAGAGTACATTGAAAATAGTGATGTGCCTTGTGCAAATGTGTGGGCAGGCATCGCATCAATTACCGGTATATCTGAAGGGGACGTGTCCTCCTCACATTTAAAAAATACTCATTTGGACACCACTCACACACTTACCATGAAATATTAATTCACCCAGCGATGTTTGTTCATGAACAAATCCATTCCACTTGATTTATAGGAGAATACTCAAACCACTAAGAGTCCACTCTGGGTTTTCTTGGTTACCTACAACTCATGCAGTGTTTCCTCTAGATCACTTGCCTTGGCAGGACACTCATCTCTTTGGGGATTTTGGTCAATGGGGCAGGGGAGGAGGGGGAGACACCTCTGTGTTGAATGCTAACTTAAAGGTAGGTCAGTTAGGTCAGTGCTGGCAGTTGTTGACCGGGTTGGGGGAAGTTGGTGGTTAGGATGTGTGAGAGAAGCAAAGCACTAGTCTGCAGCATCTTAGCTAGTGTGTCTGTGTTGCACGCTAGCTTAGCGCTACGTTAGTGCCAGCAGTTCTTGACCAGGTTGGGGGGGTGGTTAGGATGTGTGAGAGAAGCGGAGCGTGCTCTAGTCACACAAGGAGGTCTGTTGTTTAGTCTACTTCTTTTTGTGCTTTGTTCTCTAAAATATAGTAGTTACTGAATCAAGTGTTTACTTATGTAAGTAATCGTGGATGTTTAGCAACCCATTAAAATACACCAGAATGCAGGAAATGGCATCTACGTTATGCAAAATTTTATGGGGGAGGACCCCCAGACCCCACCGCCGGTGTGTCCCCCCACATTACAAATGATGCCAATGTGTGTGTGTATGAGCTTACCTTGGTATGTTGTCATTGACTGTTGCACATCCATAGAGAAAAACAATGACTCCCACTAGAGAGGCAGGAATTAGCATCTGGGTGTACAGACCCAGCCAAGCAAAGTAAAGACCAATCTTCTCACCAAAATACTTCCTGCAAAGGAGAAAAAGAAGCAAAAATATTTTTGATTCGATTTTGAGCTTCACACAAACATCATTTACAAATAGAAAAACATGGATGCTGGATTGCACACTGGCTTCTGTATGATGAAGTTAGTTTTTGATTCCAAATCCCAGCTAGAGCATTCAGAGCCAGGTAGCAGAAGAGGCAAAACAGCTGACATGTGAAAAAGTTATGAGCTACAGTGCCACAACTCATTAACGTGATAAAGAAACTGTGCGACCACCTGGTAACAGGATTAATGACAACCAGCAGATTTATTACCACAGTAACTTGTAGTTAGTTTGAAAAATGGTTTTTCAATTCTATTCAATTCAACCTTTATCTATACAGGTTAGTCTCAGTTAACCAAACACAATTATTAAAATGAGCTAATGAGTTTGATTGTGGCTCCTCGTACTGATGAAGTCTTTTGGATGAAAGATGAAATGTTTCAACAAAAAGAAACTGTCCAGAGGACCTGACTTAACTTTGTTGGATCTTTCTGATGGGTTTATCTGCCAGGCATTCCCAGCAGACCCTCACTGCACGTTTGGGTCTACCAGGTCTGTCCAACATCTTCCCCCACCATCATTGCAGCCGTTTGTCCAAAACAAACTGCTGCAAATAAGATGACACGACTACAAAGTCAATCATCGATCTACGACCTAGGGCATCCTGGTTCCAAGTGCACTTATGGACACCCTTATGTTCTAACATGGTGTTCATGATGGACAAACTATGACTAGCACAGAAGTCCAACAACAGAACACCACTCGAGTTCAGATCAGAGAGGCTGTTCCTCCTAATCACACCCCTCCAGGTCACACTGTCATTACCCACGTGAGCAATGAAGTCTCCTAGGAGTCCCCAGCTGGTGCATCTTCCAGCACCCCCCGCCAAGGACTCTAAGAAGCCTGGATAATCTGAATTGCCATTGGGCACGTAGGCACAAACAACAGTCAGAATCCATCCCCCCACCTGAAGTCACAGGGAAGCCACACTCTCATCTACCGAGTACAACTCCAACACACAGGCACCCAGTCGGGGGGCTAAGAGTAGACCCACACCAGCTCAACGCCTGTCACCATGGGCAACTCCAGAGTGGAATAAGGTCCAGCCTCTCTCAAGGAGATCGGTTCCAGAGCCCATGCTGTGCGTTGAGGTGAGCTCAACTAATGTCGCTCTGAGTTGACTCTGGTTCTGGTGTAAAACCATTCTAGCTTGAACTGGCTACGGGTCAGCTCTGACACCAGTCCTGGGCTAGCAATGGAACCTCTTTAGATGAAAAACTCTAACTATATGGCTTGTTGCATTTTGCTTTAAAATGTAGCATTTAAAAATGGTGCATCCCACTCACAACCAAAATAATGTGTTTTCATCTGTGGCAAGAAGTTTTGACAGAGTTATTCAAGAAACTCTGAAGCAAACCCTGCAGTGAGAAAGGCTGAACACTTTGTAAATAAGTCGTCCGAAGTATAAAACCATTAAAACTGTTCATAAAAAAAAAACACTTAATTGTCCCTTGGATCGCCCACCCCCACTCTCAGAAGGGAGATCTGTCATTCAACATCCCTCCCAAGCTCAGAAACTTGGAGAACACTTGTCTCTCCTCATTGATCACTGGTTAGTCTGGAATTAATTGATTTCCACTATTCTCTTGATATCAGACAATAAAAAACATTCCCCCGATCCAACTGGTGCTGAGAATGTTGTGAAGGGGATTTTAAATCTCAGAAAACAGATGAAACACTCAGGACAACTTCAGATGTGCACGTGGCTGTGCATGTATTTATTACCGACCTGTAGCTCCATCATTTTGACTGGGAGTAAATTAAAAAATATTTCTTACCGCACAAGCCCGATCGGCTGGTACTTATAGAAAACACTGTAGTTGGCCCACTCCTCATACAGAAGCTGTGGAGGACAATACTCTTTAAATAAAGGTTATTTTTATAACATTTTCATGCTTGCTTCACCACATTTATCACAAATACATCAGGTGGAGTTATCTGCACTACAGACTTCTTCAAACGACACTATACGGAGACAACAGTACTACTACAGTATTAAATATATACATTATGATCAAATCTCTCTCCGACAAGAAGACAACACATTTCACTCGGCTTTTCTCACTGCCGTGCATTTTTTGGTGCTTCTAAAAAAACTTTTTCAAAACCTCCATCATGTTCAGAGGTTTTTTTCTAACCAGGGTGCGACAGACATCGTGGAGCTTGAGGGTAAAATAAAGATAACTTATTAGTTGAATAAATACACAAACAAAAGGCTGACGTGGCAGAAAATAGAGAAATTGGAACACGTGGCGACACGGAGGAACGGAGCATGAGCGTTCACCAGAAAGAGGCTGTTTCCCCGGGATGAAAACACGACAGTAACCAGACCACAGTGGAGCCTCGTGCTCAGACTTGGTGGATTTCCAACATGTCCTCGCTCCTGCCACCCTTTGGACTGCTGCCGTGCAAACGATTGAAACTGATGGGGACATCATCGCAGGCTAGTTTCACCTGAGGACCTCATTTTGAGTCAACTTCATCTGCTTCATTAAACTCATTATAAAACCACGATAGTGTTATTTTTTGTGGTTTTGATGGAAAGCTTTTGCTTGTTGTGTCTAATTTTACCCAAATGTATTCCCTGTGAACTGTTTCTGCTCTTGCCCCGCCCACTCACACCTGGTCCATGTCTCTGCACAGGTGTTTGTTGTTCTGGTTAGTTTTAGCTTTATGGTCTCTGTGCTGAGTTTCTTTGGTTCTTCATTGTGCGCTGTGTGTGTCAGTCCTGGCTCTTTATCTGTGTTTATTCCCCACAGGATCTGTGATCTGTTTATGTCGGTTTTGGAAATGAAATCGGTTTTCCTTCCTACAGCTCGTGTCCAGCCCGATCTGTCCGCGTCCTGTCTTTCAAACAACCGGTACGCCTCCACAAAAACATATAAAAACTAATTTAGGTTCCACTTTGCTACAAATAAAACCAAAAACAAACGAACAAAAACATTTTTTTCTTTCAATATTGTCTTAATAACTCTGTCTATAGAGAAACAAAGTAAACCATTTAACAATGCCAGCAAAGGTAAAATACATCACCAGAATATTTAAGTTTACACAGTTTTTAATTTCTTAAATTTCAGATGACATGAAAGAAACATTCAATATTTGTATTTTATTGCAGCTGTATGCTGACTCACTTTTTTGACTTCCAAAAGTATTAAAGTTACCTTTCTGTCATTGGGTTCTGCACTTTCTTCGATATCTCCCTGGAAAGAAATGATGAAACTCAGATTATTAAAGGTTCATTGACAACACTGCAAAATGCAGTCAAGGGAGATGATCTAATTCCATTAAAAATGATTTAAACAAGCACACAGGTTTTTAAACTTTTATAATCAAAACAAAAATGTAATTTTTAACTTTAAAATGCATAAAATCATTATGCACACATTGGGGACTTGTTGGCTTCTTTTAAATGTCTAACAAATATTAACAGAACACAATTATTCTGTTGGTAATTTGGAAATGAAAAAAAAAAGCTGCTTTACTGTCTGATCAAGAAGGAAAAATCTGCCTGGAAAGGCACCAAAGTACCATCAGAGTACATCAGACAGAGTAACATCAGAGTACCATCAGACAGAATACCATCAGAATACCATCAGAGTACCATCACACAGAAACCATCAGAATACCACCAGAGTACCATCAGAGTACCATTAACATACCATTAGAATACCATCAGAATACCATCAGAGTACCATCAGAGTTCCATCAGAGTACCATCAGAGTAC